CCAGCAGGGCAAACATTAAATCTTGTAGTTCCATGTCAACATCCAAGGCAATCTGTGGCAAGTTGTGAACTCCAAAGGGCTTGGGTGGCTCCACCCCTATGGCACTGCCTGTTGTTGTAGCTCCCATGGCTTCTCTCTTGGGCCAGCTCTGCTCCTTCCTTGCAGCTTTCCTCTGATCCATGGTCCTGGCTTCTCCAAACTTCTGGGGTCTCCACTGTGACAGGTCCTCCAAGTCAGACCCCCTCCCAAGCAGACCTGCTACCCGCATCCACAGGAGCACAGAGGTAACAAGAAGCCAGCAGCCACCCTGCTGCTCTCACCACTGTCCTGTTTATCACACAGCCCCAGGCCCATCACCCGTGGGACTCTAAAATTTTCCACCCTCTTGACCAGTCCCCCCTCCTCTACCTAAAATGCCCCATATCTGCCACGAGAGCACCGTCCTCTGCCAACAGCCTTCTTGCCCTTGACCCATCTGCACTCAGATGGCAATAAACTCATTGCATGTTGCTTAGACTTTGCCTGCCTCGGTGGTCTCAGTCGTGCGCCGGTCTGACCTTACACACTGCACCTTTGGCTTCACACTCACAGCCTCACACACTGCCCTCTCTGGGGCACACTCTCTCACCTCCCAGGCTTTCTTCTAAAATCTGGGTGGAAGCCTTCCTGACCCCACAACTCTTGCACATGCAATAAGCACCACGTGGTTAAAAGGCCCATGTTTGCTGCCAGCTGGAGCAGTAGCCGGGCTTCCTTCTCTCTCAGTTGTAGGTGACGAGTCCCTGGATCACTGAGCACTCTGAACCCAATTCCGAGGAACAAATTCTCTAGGCTGCCACTGCCATTCTTGAACGTGGTTCTCTGGGGCTTTCTTCTCAAAGCAAAGTCTTTCACTTTTGCAATTTTGAGACTCCAAAGTGTGGAGTCCTGCTGCTTCCTGTGATGCCCTCAGACCATCTTTTCTATTCTCCCATTCCCTCTCAGCAATTAAGATCTCGTCTACTCTATCTTTGAAGTCCACAGCTTTACTGGAGCTTCCTTTCTGGCCAAACTCAAAACATTTTAAATCATTCTGCTGGGCTCTTTGCTCTTGATTCTCAACATACATCTGGCTAAAAAGCCCCCAACAGTAGCTGTACCTTGGCTTTAACATTAGACTCTGAAATTTCTTCTGTGAGATTAATTAGTCTGCTGCCCTTAATCTCAGTCTCAGACAAAATCTCTGGACATGAGCAAAATGCAGACAAACTTTCTGCCAATCCATAGCACACATCATCTGGAGTCCCAATAGCCAATCCAGCCCTTCTTCCCAGCAGAAACCTTCTGAGCCAGGTCTTTACGTGCTGGCTTTCTGTTCTTCTGCGCTCTGACCAGACTCTCCCATGCGAAACAGCCTAAGGCATCCAGCTCTTACTTCCTCAGTCCTGCCTCCGAATCTTTCCTAGCTCTTCCCCTTCCCACAAGCCAGTTCCAGAGGCTCTCGAGCCATAGCAACAACCCCACTTCTCTGGTACCATCTTTCTGTGTTAGTTATTTTTCTCTCATTGCTGAGACAAAATACTTGACACCCAAAGTTAAAGGGGGAAAGGGTTTATTTGCTCACAGTTTGTTGAAACTTCAGTCCATGATCAGCTGACTCCCAAGGCAGGGATGGCAAACAGTCATCGCAGAGGAGAAACAATATGGTGCGCACAAGGTAGCAAAGGTAACAAGGGTCCTTAACAGTGTCTTTCTGCTCCTTATTCAGACTGATACAGGGGGAATAGATGGAACTCTCAAACCTACTAGATATCCAAAATGGGAGTTCGTGTTCTCTAAAATCAAAGAATGAATTCTAAGAGCAACAGAGGTTAAGAGTGGGAAAAATTTATTGAGAGAGAAAGAAAGCTTCTGCCTAAGAGAGACAGAAGGGGGACCAGAAAGTGGGTTACCCCTCTTCACTTCTTAATTACTAATTGAAATTCCTTTATAGTTATAAGAAGATTTCAGGGTTGTTTTTCTTCTTGTCAGTTTTTCTAGAATTTGTAATTTTCATCTGTTTTCAAATTTCATAGTGTATTCCTTGCATCTCCCTGGTGTCCTTACATCCTCGGCACCATCTATGTACGCATCACCCATAATACTGCTTGTGTGCTCCTTCTCGACTTCCTAACTAGTCTTACTGCACACACTTATTAATATTTTCAGAGAACCACCCTTTGACTCTGGGTTTTAATCTCCACTTTGTTTTTCTTCTTTCCCTCACCTTCTGTGGGTTCTTTTTGCAGTTTCCCCTTTATCTTTTAAGATAAGGTGGGTTTTCTTCTCTAAAACAAACATTTAAGGCTATGTAGTTCTAAGGGCTGAGGTTGCTCCATCCATGAATCATAACGTGTTGTTTTAGTGTTATCACTTGGTTCTAAACATTATTTAACTTCCTCTTAGTTTGATGAATGATGTAATGGCATTTTTCTTAACTTCCAGATTTTGGCAAGGTTGTGGGAGGGGGAATTGGCTGGGCCTGCTTTTCCATCAGTGAAGATGGCTCATGTGAAGATACAGGCCTTAGAAATTGGAGGTTTGCTTCATGTCTGTGGGCTTCTAGGAGATTTTCTTCCATCATTTTGGTTTTTCTTCATAGCTCCCTCGCTTTCTCTCTCCCTCCCTCCCTTCTTTTCTTTCTCTCTTTCGAAAGGGTCTTGCTGTGTAGTTGAGGCTGGCCTTGAACTCACTGTGGAGCCCGGGCTGTCTTCGAACTCACAGCAATCCTTCTGCCTCGGCCTCCCAAGTACTGGGATTACAGGCACAGATCACCATGCCTGGCTGTTCATAATTCTTGATTTGAGAAAATTATTTACATTTTATCCTAGAATTTTGGTTGTTTTGAGAGGAAGGTTAGTTCAGATCAGCACTGTCTAGTGGAAATATGTATGAACTGCATGTATAATTTCAGAGTTTTTTAGTAGCCACCTTAAAAATTAAAAAAAAAAAAAAAAGAGGCAAGTACCATAGCAGAGAGCTTGCCTAGCATATACAAGGCCCTGAGTTCTATCCCAAGGAACACACACACACACACACACACACGATGAAATATATTTTATCTTAATTCAGTGCATGAAAAATACCTAATCCTGGCTACTTGGGAAAATGAGGCAGCAGGATTCCAAATTTGAGGCCAGCCTGGGGAACTCAAAAAGAGCAGGGATAGGGGCTGGGGATTTAGCTCAGTGGTTTTGCCGCCTGCTGCGCAAGCGCAAGGACCCGAGTTCGATCCCCAGTACCAATAAATAAATAAAGAATAGGGATGGGCCGGGGATTTAGCTCAGTGGTTCCTGCGCCTGCCTCACAAGTGCAAGGTCCCGAGTTCGATCGCCGGTACCAAAAAAAAATGAATAAATAAGAGTAGGGATGTAGCTTGAGCATTTGTCTGACATGTGTAAGGCTCTGAGTTTGAATTCCAGTACCACTAAAAAAAATCATAAATCAAGAAAAAATAGAAATTTGATATTTTACGTTCTTTTTTTTCCTGCTAAGTCTAAAGTCCAGCTGTTTTACATGTACGTGACCTCTCAGCTCACGTCAGCCATGGTTCAGCTGCTTATTGGCCACCACATAGGACAGCACGGGTCTGTGCTGTCTCTGACCATCTCAGCCAAGCGCTTTGTGTCCACGTTGCTCCCAGCAACCTGTTGTCCATAGCTGTTGGTGGTTCTTGCCATCTACCTGTTTATACCCCACCACCACCTCACTACGGGGTCCCGGCTCAAGCACATTCTGGTAGTGGGTCTTTTTTAGTGTGGCAGAACTGGCTGCACCATTTCCTGTCCCCTCTGCCTGCAAGACCAGTCTATGTTTCAAGGCCCCACATCACTGGCCAAGTGCAGCGCTGAGAGGCTCAGACTCTATGTGGAAGGAGTGTGAGTGAACAAATGGGGATGGGAACCCTTCCCCTGAGCCTGTCCTCTTTGTGGAGGATACACATCACAGGACAGTGACCTAGGACAGTGGGGTGCTGGCGGTGAGCAGGCATCTGCCCTGGCCAGGTGGGCAGACCTAGGTGCCAGGAGCAGGGCCAGGACCCTACACACAGGACCAGTTCTGGTAGGGAGGTCACAGGCCTAGGAGAAAGTGGCTTTAAGGCTGTGGTTTGTATCTTTAGCTGCTGTGCCAGTCCAATGCGTGTGGCACCACAGTGAGTTCCATAGGTTTCTGTCTGGGTTCAAGTTGAAACTGCATGTCAGCATGAGTTAGGATGCCCAGGCCAGCTGAACTCTGGTTCTCTTCCCCACTGAGCCGGCTGTGGAGGGTGGGGAACCCCTCCTTGGGAACAGCTTGGGCTCCCAGCAGCCTGCAGAGTGGAGCCCAGGAGGAGGAGCAGGCCGTTAAGGTAGGCCCTGGTCACCCATCTCTGTCCTGGGGCCTTCCCTGGCTTAGTCCAGCTACTGGGCACTGGGCAGAGGCTTCTCACTTTCCTACGGCTGGTAGGCAGAGCTGAGATCAAGCTGCTGCCTGGGGCACCTGCCTGCCACCCTGCCCCACCTCCCTGAGGGTATAATTAGCCCCATGACAGGTGCTGTGGATAAGTGCCTGACCCGGCCCTGACCCAGTGCTGCCTACCCTCAGCTGACCTGCTGCACCCTCTTGCCTGCCCCCCCAACCCTGCCCCACGAGGTCCCCTAAGGCCTCAGGCCCCACCCACCTTCCTGTGGGTGCTTGCCATACTTGTCACAATGGACTTGCCCTGTCAGGAGGGGTAGCAGGTGGGCAGAGCCCTAGGCAGTGGCCTGGCCTCAGGCTCTGGGAATCCCCAGGCTGGCTCTGGCCCTCCCTTCAGTCCTTGCCCAGGGGCCCAGCTGGAGCTGCTGTGGCCTGGTGGCCTCATCCTTCCAACAGGAAACTTCAGACTTAAGCCCCAATGGGCAGCCTGCAGGGCCAGTAGGCTTGCTCAGGGGCTGGATCGAGCCCCGCCCCCATGGTGCCTCAGCATCCCCCAGCCCATCTAACTGTACCCTCCTCCCCAGTGCAAGAAGAAACACACGCTGCTGTGCCCTGACTTCGCCCGCAGGGGTACCTGCCCCAGAGGTGCCCAGTGCCAACTGCCTCATCGCAACCAGAAGCACCAGAGCCGGAGGGCAGCCATGCCCCCCACCCCAGGGCCCAGTGATGCAGCACACAGAAGCCGGACCTCCACTGGCCATGGACCCAGGTGATGGAGCAGTGGGTGCTACATAGGTGACACTTGGGACCTTCTGGAATGAGCCCCCACCCCAGCTCTTTGGGATTTAGATCTCAAAGGAAATCTCAGTCCAAGGCAGAAGGACAGATGGCCTTCAGAGATGCCTACACCCTGTGTCCCTGAGTCTGGACGGAGCCAAGAGCATCCCCAGCCCGTAGAGGGAGGTGGGGGTTTTAGAGACCCATTCCCCAGGAAAGCAGAGGAAGCTAGGTCCCCAGGGGGGATTTAAGGGATCCCTATGTCATGCTCACCTGTGGAGTATAGGGACCCTCTGCAGACAAGGACATCAAGGTCCAGAAGGTGGGGCCTGAGGTGATCGGGCATACCATGGAACCCAGAGCCCCCTTGGCCAAGCACCCTGGTGCCTCAGACCAGTCTAACCTTAGAGGGTGAGGGCCAGGCTTGAATCTGTGTGGTGATGCCCAGTAGCTCCTGCAGCAGGAAGTGGGGATGAGGGCCAGAAGCCCTGTCACTGGGACAGTGGCGTCGGAATGCCCTGCCCACCCTCACTTCTGTTGTCTCTCCTTTCTTGCAGGAAGCCCTCTGCAACCCAGCGTCATACCAGAAAGATGTCCAGTTCCCCCACCTCCAGGACTGTGCTCCCAGCCTCACCTCCCCCCTCCCCACGGGGGTTTGCTTCAGCCTCTTCCTTGTCAACAAAGGCTGCCTCCTCCTCCTCCTCTTCCTCCTCCTCCTCCTCCTCTTCTTCCTCTTCTTCCCACTCCTTAGAGAAAAAGGAACCTTCTCTCCAGGACAAGGCCATCTCATCAGGGACAGGCTCAGGCAGCCTCTGTAAGCTACCAGCCTTCATCTCCCTGCAGGCCTCACCAAGCCCAGGAGGCCAGCCCCGGGCCCCCAGGAGGTCCCTCGCCAAAGACTCAGGTAAGCACAAGCCCAGCCACTTCAGACAGACTTCATGGAGTCTCCAAGTGTGGGTCTAGAGAGTCAGTGGACACCATGTGTGCACCTGCTGGCTGGAGGTGGACCAGTGAAGGGTGAGCGCAGTGGTAGCCCCACACAGACCATCCCAGCCAAGGGCTGATTTAATTAGAAAGCACCCATTTCTGTTAATTTGTTCTGGAAGATCACTGCACACTCCTGGAGAGAACAGATGTTCCCTCTCCCCAATGAGCATTTGGGGCTTGGTAAATGGCTCCACTCAGCCTTGTTTAGGAGAGAAAAGAGGATTTTATGGCTGCAAACGACCCTTTCTGTAAACATTTTACAGCTCTCCGCACGTTTGAGTGACGATAAACCCCACGCAGCTCGGCGGGCTGCAAATTTGTGACCATACGGCTATCACTTTATTGTCATATTTCACGGTCGTAACGTTAATGGAAGATGCTTGCTGCAGGCTTCTGTAACAGCCCCGCTGAGCATGCTCAAGTGCCTGCTTGGAGGGGCTGCCTCCTGGTTACATCCTCCTAGTCAGATGCAGAATCTGGCTGGCTGGCCCCCACCTAGCTGGGACAGACGGGGCCAACAGCTCCGATCTGGTTGTCCCTCAGGGCTCTCCCTAACCCCAGCCACCACTTGTGTCTTTTTTTTTTTTTTTTGGTACCGGGGATCAAACTTGGGTCCTTGAGCTTGTGAGGCAGGCACCAGAACCACTGAGCTAAATCCCTGGCCCCTCCACTTGTGTCTTTTTAAAGATCAGGGTCCCAGTAGCCACTCAGGATCAGAGGAGACTTGGGGCACTGGGGGTCCTGTGGGCCACTTGGGCAGGCCAGGAAAGGGCTGTGAGGCTGCAGGGCCTGGCCCCAGGGGGCTGGAGGGGCAGGTGTGACTAGGCTGGGATGGGTGGCTGAAGCAGCCACCCAGTAGAGGCCGAGGCTGGAGGCTGGTAGAGTCTGTGAGCCGGGGCCTGGCTTCTGGCTAAGCAGTGAATGGAGTCATCAGCCCTGAGGAGGGATACCCAGCCCACCCAATAGGAGAGGGGTCCTACAGGGGCACATGGCCAGTGCCCTGCCTATGAGCAGCCACACCAGTGCAGCTGCAGTCAGCGGCCTAGGATGGCTCAGAGCATTTATGCAGAGGGAAGAAAGCCACTGGTGCTCAACAAGTGTGCCTCTGCCAGGCAGTAGCCCCGTGGGACATGTCACTCCCTTCTCAGGCCCTTGTTCTGGGGACCCTTCCCCTCCCACCACTCAGTGCCCCTGCTTACCCCCTACCCCATTACCCAGCCACCTGCTTGCACACACCCGGCTTCTCGCATGTGTCTGGCAGCTGCTCCCAGGTGTGAGCACAGTGTGCGCCTGCATGTCTGTGTGCACCTGCCATTTATAGCTCAGGCTCACAGTGGTGTGGCTTCAACCTGTGGGCCTTCCCAGGCTGCTGCCAGGCTTCCTTTCCCTCTTGACCCTGGCCAGAGGCTTATCAGGCCCAGTGGCAGTTGGCAGGTGGGCAGGGGCTAGGAGACAACAGCCTGGTGTCCTAAACCCCCACTGGACAGGCCTGTGCTGACCGAGTCTCCCGCTCCTGAGCCCTGACCAGAAACTTTGGGGGTGGGTGGTTCCTCCAGGTTGGGGTCGCCTGCACCTGACCTTTGCCCTCTTTGTACAGGGAAGCCACTTCACATCAAACCACGCCTGTGAGGGACCCAGGGACCAGCCCGCACCTACCTCAGACTCTCACCCCAGGGAGCATGGAGAAGCTGCCCACCACCAACCTCCCAGGGCACCGCTCTGCCTGCCAGGCTCCGAGCTTTCCCTGCCTGTTTGCCCATTACCTTGTCTTCCTCCCTCGGGCCAAGGTCTTGCCCAGCCCCATCCCACTTCCCCTCCCCTGAGCCCTCAGCCTGCACCTAGGACTTGCCCCTTGAGATGTCCATCAGGGCTTGACCCTTGGGCAGTCTCCCGCTATGGGTGTGGCAAAACCTATGGGATGTGTGGGCCCCCACCTTCCCCACCCAGCACTCTTGCCTGAGGAAGAGGCCCCTGGTCAGGCCTCTCTGGCAGGCATTTTACGTCCAGCAATAAAGGTTCTGTCCTGTGTCAGCTGGCCTATCCTGACTGCTACCATGGGGCCCTGGACTAGGTGGGAGATGGGCCGGCTGGAAGGCAGAGCCTGCACTACCTCTGGCAGGAGTACTGCATGCTCTCCTTGACCCCAGGATGGCCCAGAGGGTCTGAGGCAGCCTGTCTCCATGGCCAGGCTCAGGTCAGCAAGGCTGGGTGGGGGGAAGCCTGGGAGGGGTCTCTGGAGACACAGGTTGGGCAGGCTGGAGCCAAGGCAAGGGCAAAGGAAGTCAGGCCCATCCCGAGGAAGGAGGCAGTTTAACCAGGAAGCTGGCTGAGAGCTGTATCCTCCAGCAGGGAGCTGTCCCCAGCAGGGGACCCTCTAGGCCTCACCCTCAGAGGCTACAGAGGCAGACAACCTCTGGGTGGTCCCCTTGAGCCTCCAAGCTTGAGTGGGTCAGCACTGCCTCATGCTGCTGCTGAAAAACCACCACATACCTGGGCCTCATGTTCCTGCCTGCAGCTCGGTGCCTCAGGGTGCATCACAAGTCCCTCAGCTTCCACCAGGTTCCTTTGACCAAAATAGGTCATGGGTGGAAGGGACACTCTGCCCCCACAAGGCTCATGCAGTCTTGCTGTCCACTACAGCCCCTGTCCATTTTGCTGACCTTAAAGAGGCTTACAAAAAGAATCTGGCCAGAGGACGTGGCCACAGTCATTTCCACAATGATTGTCCCCATCACCACTATGAGTTCAGCAGGCTGGTGGGCTCCAGAACTTGGACTTGGCTGGAAGAAAAGCCACAGCCCCACCTGATCAGTAAACTTCGCAGAGCCCCTGATGGTGGAGCCTGGGTGGGCGGGACCTGGGATGGGGGCAGGACCACACACTGTACCCCCTGGAGACCTGCTCAGGGATCCCTCTGCCAACCACAACCTGGGCCTTGAGGAATGGGCATATGGCCACAGAGCTGCCCCAGGGTCCTGCCCACCTCCCCTCGGTGTCCAGGGGTCCCGGGCTAAGCATCAGCAGGGGAAACTGCAGCGTGGGGGCTGTCCTGCAGCAGCAGGATATCCTGGAGCTTTAGCCTCAGCTGGGCAGCCATGGCTGCAGAAACAACTCCCCAGTGACAACCTGGACAGAACAAGTGGACAGCAGAAGTGAGGGCTCGGGACACTGCCCAGCTCCTGCTTCTCAGCACAGAGAAGCAAAAGACACTCTAGGACTACTCAGAAATGCTATTCACATGTCGCACACCCACAGTCCCTGGTCCCCCATGGCACAGCCTACAGGGCCACCTTGTCCTCTTCTCCAGGCTCCTGAACACTACTCATGAGGCCCTCCGTGAAGACCAAACCTCTGATAACCCAAAAGTCACTTCTCCCTCCCCTTCCTGGGTAGGGAGACCACATCATAGATCCAGATGGTCCAGTGTTCACCTGTTTCCTGCCTCCCTGCACAGCCAGCAAGGGGACACAGGCTGGCACTCGGGCCAAGCTCTCTGGGAATTCTGGCTTCATGAATGGGCATATCCTTGTGCTTCACTCTCATGCCACCGGTGACTATCCCCTGCAGATAGGATTCCTAACAAGCCTGGTGGCAGCTGAACTCACCTAGTGCTACCACAGCCCTTGAGATAGCCATAGTGGGTAGGGGCTGGTGGTCAGATGCCAGCCTATCAGGGACAACAAGGAGACTCATCTCTTCTGGACCTTCAGCCACCAACTCACCCTTTCCACTGTGGCCAGAATTTAACAAGCCCCTGCCACAGCCACCCAGGGCCCCAGCCACCACAAGGGGGGGCAGTGACATTAGCCTGAGACCTCGGACCTACTGTCTTTCCCTCTGTTAACCCATTGCCCAAAGCAACCAGTAAGAAGGCTTAGGAGGGCTGGGCACTGCCTTCCAGGAGGCTGTGTGAGGTCCTGATTCTCCATTGCCCCAAGACTCTCTTGGGGGACCTGCCTGTTGCAGTTCCTGTGGCTCCTCTGAGTGTGCCCATTGATCATACTGGGCTCAGGTCGAGGGTCCTCCCCCTGCCAGGCCTCAAGGAGGGACACTAAGCAGAGACCCAGGTCCATGGGAGCAGCCACAAGTGGGTGGAGATCTACAGCAAGATCACATGGTCCCCCAAGGCTAGAGGCAACCTAGGGGTCCTTGGACCCTGGCAGGGTAGGGCAGGGTCCTAGCAGGGGCTCCTCGATTGAGCTCCCTCCCTTTACTGCTACACCCACAAGCAGCTCCAGCTGCTGGTGGGAGAGCCAGGGCTATTGCCTCCTCTAAGGGAGCTGTGGCCCCTGGTGGGGGACCTGGAGATGTGGACAGGTGACCTCAGGGTGTGGTTTTGCACCCAGAAGAGGCTATTACTCAGGGCAGGGAGTGCTGGTCTAGACTCTGGGGTCTGGGAGGAGCTGAAAGGGAGAGTGCCCTGGGTTGGTGGGAGCCCTTTCAGAGTTCGGCACCATCCAGGTCTCCCCGAAGGGCAGTGGTCACACCAACATTCATGCTGCTGTCTGTCCCCAGCAGAGTGTAAGTGCCAGGAGGGACAGCTTGGAGAGATACGTGGCTGAGTGTGCACCCTCGGATGTTGCCTGGCATATGGTAGGTGCTCCATCAGTGCTGGGGTAGGGACAAGGAAGGGGTGGAGCAGTGGGCAGGCTGAGTGGGGGCTCACTCCCAGGAGGCTCTGGTCCTTTTGCAGAACTGGCTATTGTTTTAATAGCAAGTGAGGGGCCGGGATTGAGCTCAGTGGCACCACGCCTGAAAAAAAAAAGGGCAGGGATTTAGCTCAGTGGTTCTGCCACCTGCCTCTAAAGTGTAAGGTGCTGAGTTCGATCCCCGGTACTGGAAAAAAGACAAAGCAAAATAAAAGCAAGTGAGCCCCACATGGTTTACTTCAGCTTGGCCTGCTATACCTTCCAAGCCCTAACCCCAAATCCCTGTCCAGAAACCATGGCCCCTCTGTGGGACAGAGTTTGTACTTCTGCAATCACTTCCACATGAAAACCTCTGGGTGGCCAGGCATTTACTGCCACACCCACAAGCTGCATTCATGTGATACGAATGTAACAGAATGACCTGGGCAGTTTTCAGGCTCCTCCTTTTTTTTTTTTTCTTTTTGAGGCAAGGTCTCCCTATGTAGTTCATACTGGCCTTGAATTCTCAACCATCCCCTTACCTTTGCCTCCCAAGTGCTGGGTGGCGCGGACATGTGTCACCACGTCTGCTTCTGCACTCAGGACAGAGAACCTCGTGAAGGGGCACAGTGACATCTGGAAACTCTACCTGCTACCTGTTATAGAATTTAGACAGACCAGGGCTGGGGATTTAGCTCAGTGGTTTCGCCGGCTGCTGTGCAAGCAAAAGGACCTGAGTTCAATCCCTGGTACCAAAAAACAAAAACAATTTAGACAGACCAGTCCTGCCTGTGATGCCCTGTTCCAGGACGGTTGCTGAAGAATCAATTGCACAGATAGCAAACAGCAGCCAGAGCCCCACCATGCCGTCCCTGGCCCCCACCGGCCCCAGGCTCTGACCTTGATCCAGCCATCCTGGCCACGCCCCTTGGCCTGCAGCCACTCCCAACAAGGCTGCTCCCCAGCCCCCACTGTCCCACAGCCTGCCCCAGGAAGGTCCCCAGCACTCTCCATCCCCTCATTCAGCAACTGCCCTCACCTCCTGGGTTCACGCCCTTGGGTGACTCTCCCTGTGGGCAGTGCCTGTGACTCGAGCTACACTGTCCTGGGGAAGGCTGAAGCCATGCTGGGAGCCACACATGGTGAAGAGCCTGAGCCCCCAGAACTGTGTCCTACAGATTCCAGGAAATTCTTCCAGCAATCCCAGAGCTCCGGGAAGCAAATCCCTCCCTGTCCCAGATGAGACCTCATCTGTGGCAACCTTGACCGAAGCCTGAGAACCTTGCAGGACCAGGACCAGCTCCGACTACTGACTGACAAAGTCCTGAGACGAGAATTGCTGTTCCGAGTTGCAAGACTTGTGGCAGTTTGTGGCACAGCAGGAAAATACTAACACTCAATTACTTACTTTTTTGTTGTTTTTTTGGTACCAGGGATCGAACTCAGGACCTTGCATTTGCAAGACAGGCGCGGCGCCACTGAGCTAAATCCCCAGCCTTCATTTACTTACTTTTGAGGTTCGTTTTCTGTTCTCTGACCTGTCCTGGTAGACTGCATTTTCCAAAGATGCTAGGATACATGCTCTTCCTCGGTGTGACCTGCATAAGGAAGTAAGTGTCTCTGCCCCGCTACCTGACCGGGAGGACAGGAGCAGCTTCTGACGCACTTCTGCCTTGCTCTCTAGATATTCATCCAGGATCCAGGAGGTGCCATGGTGGGAGGAAGCTACAGGAGCAGTCCAGAGCCTGCCTGTCCCACAGGCTTGGCCATGCCGTGCCATGCCATGGCTCTCCACCCCAACCACTGGTCCTCCCAGCTGTCCCCAGATTCCCAGAACAGATTCCCCCCTTGGATAACCCATGCTGTATTAGGCTACCAAGCTCCAGCAGCTTGTTCCTCATCAAGGGATCTCTAGCCACCTATCTGGCAGAATCACAGGCAGCCTGGCACACAGTAGGTACTCAGTAAAGGTTTGTGGAGTACATTTAATCACCAAGCCACATGCGTAGTCCCCATGGAGTTCTGCGAGTGCAGGAAGTAGATGTGAGAAGCCCTAGGAAGGTGTTGGGTACTTGGGAATCAGCTTCAGTGTGCTGCTTCTGGCAGGATACCCCCAACACACACACACACACACACACACACACTCACTCACTCACTGCCCCAACTCCCTACCAAGGCCTGACAGGAATACTCCCTGGTCCTCCAGGGGCCATCCAGGCCTGGGGTTGGCTCTGGCCTGGGACTCCAGGAGTCGTCCTGCTCACTCTGCAGGGTGGTAGGGTGGCAAAAGGTACTGGCTAGACAGAGAGCCCTTCGAAGCCTTTAGCCAGGTATCAGGCACCTTTCCTGTCTGCCCTGGCTGGGACTAACAAACGAGAAGGGTGTTATACCTGGCAGAGACCAGGAGACAGGGACAGGCCAAGTCCTTGGGAGGCCTGGACTCCTATGATGAGGACTAGAGCTGGGGGTGGGGGTGGGGGTGTCCACCCAAAGAACTTCTAGAAAGCCAGGTGGATCTGCTAGCCTCAGAAACCAAGTCCAGGACCTTGGAGATGCCTGGTCTGGGATGTGGGGGCTCTTGCTGGGCTCCAGGGAGCCCTGTGATGTTCTTGCATCTCCAGGTCTGAGCACAGCCCTGCTTAGACCTTCCAGCAGGTATCCTGGTCATTCTTCTCACTGCTGGCCAGTAGAGTGGGTAAGGAGAACTGATCAGTTCCCCAACAACCCCTCCCCACCCCCACCCCCACCCCCCCAGCTTTC